AAAAAAAAAAAAAAAGGTGTATATGCAGAGCTAATCCCCTTCTATAGCTACCTGGACAGAGATTTTCAGGCTCTTCCTTGCCATTAAGTCACTTCCTTTTTCTACTCAAAGACAGAAGCTTTAATGCAGGTTGCTTCAAATGCATATACTCAAGGAGTTAATGCTATTCCCAACCACCAGCACTGTTAGACCTAAACATCAGTGCTCAAATGAGAAAAAAAAGAAGGAAATTGACCAAGAAGTCAAAGGTGATTACTGAATCTAAGACCAAATGACAGTTGCATGCTAACGCTCTTACCCCACCTCACTACTCCATCCAGAGTAGGTCTTTTTTAAGAGCCCTGATTACCCTCACTCCTGCAGACTACCTTCCATGAAGCTATACAGGGGGCTGCAAAAATTCTCATTGTTCAAACTCTAGCGTCTCCCCTTTTAAGAAGGTTCTGTGGGCTGGCAGGTGGCAGGGTTACTAGGGTACTAGACTCCCACATAGACAACTACAATTCGGGTCCTGGACGTGATGGCTTGCTTTCTCACTACCTCCCACCCCACTCCCCTTCTGTCTCTCTCTGGTCAAATTTAAAAATAAAAGCAATAATAATAATAATAATAATAATTCTTTTTACAAAAAAGAAAAAGGAGGTTTTGTTTCCACACACACAAACTAAGATTCTGATATAATGATTCCTTTTATATAATTGCCAAAACAAGTAAAAACAAAGTAAACTAGATAGTTTAGGGATGCAACTGTCACTTTAAAAAAGCAAAAATAAGATATCCATAAAAAGGCAAGATAATGGTTATGTCTGGAGAGAAGGCAGGCAAATATTTTGACTGAGGTTGGAGGGTTTCTGGGGTGCTTCAATTTTCAAGTTTTCAATCCTGGGTACTGTTCACACAGATGGTGTCAGCTTTACTATTTATTAGACTGTATACTTGTATTATGTACTATTATGTATATTACATTTCTTTAAAAAGTAAGTTTATAACAAGGCAAGATCTCTTGACCCACAGAATAATGTTTAAGATCACATCAAATACACAATGTAAAACACATGGAAAATTTATTTAAAGTGAACATGTATAGTTTTAGAAGTTTCTAGCTCTTTAGCATCACTTTTTCCTAACTGCAACAAATATGATTTTCCCCCTAAATCAGTCAAAAGTTTACTAAATTATCACATCTATCATCCATCCAGTGAACATGGTAAAACTGATTCTTACACTCTAATATCGTCACTGTAAAACAATTTGGCATTTTGATCCAGAAATCTTATAAATCAAACTAAAATATGAGAAAAATTATAAGCACAAAGATCTTCTCCCTTAATTATTTTAAACAGCTCAAAGAAAAATTAGAACCAGTATAAATGATCAATAACAGACTATTATTCACACAAATAAAATTGTGTATATCTATTTGGGAGCTACAAATTACCCTTTAAATTAATCATTGTGAGCACTGTGGTTACTTATTTTTTAATTTGCCAGAGGGATATATGCTCACCAGAGAGAGGCAAAGATAGAGAGGGAAAATAGGAAAGTAAGCCAATGTGGAATGGTCACATTGCAATCCCTTTTTCGTTTCTCTCTTTTTGGGATTTTGGGCATGCATACACATGTGCCCACCTGGTATGTTTTTCAACCACCTGGTATGTTTTTCAAGTCACTGGATCCAAGACTTGAACTGTAGTTGGCCATATGGGGTCCAGCTCACATAATTACAAGGCTACGGGTTGGCCCAGCAGTTAAAACAGCTGGATCCCATGTGACTGACGCCAAAATTCAAGTCCTGGACCTGGCAGCCAGAAAAATACGCGAGGTACAAGTATACATGTGCCCAAAATCCCAACAGGATGGAGAAATGGCAAAGAAATTGTGATGTGGCCATTCCTCACGGGGAGGGCTTTCTCTTTCTCTCTCCCCTTCTGGCAAGAGTACACATGGCTTCTGTCAAAATTATTTTAAAAATCTTTATTGGGAATTTATACCAAAATATTTACATAGCTAACAATTATATGGAATCTGCCTCAAAATAATACAGAAGGGAGAGAGAGGGTAAGGGTATGAATGAAACAAGACTGCCTATTAGGTGACAATAGTTTCAAGTGATAAGTGCAATGGAATAATGTCTACACTATTCTAGCATGTTTGAAATTCTTTGTAATAATTTTTTTATTGGGAGGAACTATATGATAATGAAAAAATTAAGATGAGTTGAAATAACAAATTTTCATCTTTTTAAGCTAAGAAAAACAGATATGAAGGGAGAAAAAATTCAAATTCCTATGTTTGTCTTTAAAGAACTTTTGGTATTTTTTTATTTCCCAGCTTTCCTGTTTTATTACTCCTACAGTTTAAAAAGTTATATACAAACTTTGAATTAAATAAAGCTATTCAGTTATTTGCTTCTTTGAGCACAGTTTAATCAAATTATTTCTAAATTCCAGCTAACCAGAGAGTCTCAAACTGATCTTATGAGACAGATACAGTGAGGACCAGCAGGTGGCATGATGGTAAAGGCGCTGGACTCCTGTATGGCTGACCAAGGTTCAAGTCCTGGACCTAGTGGCTTGCTTTCTCATTCTCTTTCTCTCTCTGTGGTCAAACTGAAGAACAACAATAAATAAATAAAATTAAATAAAAGAAAATGGCATCACTGTATTTTTTTTAAAAAAAGATAGATAATGTGAACTATTTCTCTTTTCATTGTCTTAAAAGTCTATCCTGGCTTTTTAAGCTATAGTTTTACAGCTGCTCTATTTTGAAACCTAGTTTTATTATGCTGAATATGTAAACATTTACATATTCAGTACTGAAGCCAGTACTTCCATACTTCAGATTTTAGCTGAAAACACAGTTCTTGTCTTTTCTTTCAAACAGTTAAGACAAATCAAATATAGATAGTCTATGTGTGACTATACTGGCTACTTTTAAACTGTTGACTAACTTATGTCATGATGAGTATTTATACTTATCTGAATAGCTAAGTTACCTTGTAATTAAATTGTACCTGTATATATGTGTCAATTACCATAAAGAACATTTAAATATAAGTAATCAAGTCTGAAATACACTTACCAGGATGATTGGAAATGGGAGGCTGGAATGCAAGCTCATTGTGAACTGGCCCTAAAGAAAAGACAATAAAAATCCCATTTTTATTTATTAAAAGTTTTCTAATACTAAACTTTTAATAAGCCTTATTTAAATATAACTATCAAACCTTAGGAATTCTTTAGATTAAATTTATGCAATGCATAGGGATGTAAAAGCTTACATTACCTACTTGCTTATTAATAATTATTATAATAAGCAAATGATCTTGAATTACTTTTTGAAAATTTAATAGCTAATATCTTAGTGCTGTGTGCCAAGTGCTATTGAGTATTTTAGTTTTCTATACAATATTTAATGAATATTATAAATTATTCATGTAACATGAAATACAGTATAATTTATACTGCAATGTATAACAATATAAATTGCTATACCTATTCTAAAAACAACCACTATGTTTGGTTAATGGAATAGTAGGTAACATAACTGAAAACTTACTAGAATTAAGACCCTGTGCTAAACTTCTCCCATGAATTATTACATTTACTTCTTACAATACTACTTGAGATAGATACTATTAATACTACTATTATTCTTGAGACTTAATGATATTAAGTAACTTGCCAGTGATCAAACAGCCTATTAAGGATCCAAATCTAGTACCCTTAACCACTATGCTAGCCCAGGAAGTCATTAAAAATTATATTCTTTTAAGATATGGAAAAATAGTAACATAACTGGAAAAAATCATGATACAAAAACATATACATAGTATAATCCCCCCATTTATATATACCTATTTATATGACTGGAAGGAAAAAGATAAAATATTTGTGGTATGTTATCTCTGGGTAGTAAAATTCTGGGTAATTTTAATTTTCTTATTTATATTTTTCTGTTTTTCCAAATTCTCTTTGGTACTTAATCTTATAATAAGAGGAAAAAATTACAAATCTTATATGTGTGTTTGTGTGTATATCTATATCTATCTATCTATCTATATATATATCTATATCTATATCTATATATATAAATAAAATATTTAAATTCTTGATTTTATGAAGCCAAATGAACAATGTTCCTATTCTGCATGAAACTACAGGCTATCTATAGGGTATCCCTCCCAATCATGCCTGAACAGAGTATCAACAGATACGACATCTGAGTTTCTATAGTACACTGAATACCATGGGAGAGGGAAACCTTGAGATCTGAGCACTCAAAGGTTTTCAATCCACTATGGATGGATACATAAGATACATATGAGATCTAAGAACATACAGAAAGCAAACAAACAAATGGATGGAAATCAATGTGGTGTTAATGAAATATTAGCAACAAAGAAATAAATGTATTTAGTAAATATCACTCCTCCAAAACAAAGGTATGATAACATAACTACGAAAAATAAATAATACTGTTTACAAAAAGTATTGACAAGCACTGACTATTTAACAAATCTGAACTGTAGGATGAACAAAAGATGCAAAATCTTTAAAAAAAAAAAAAAAAAAAAATAAAAGGCCTACAAAAGAAAAAGTCCTTACGACAAAAACAAGAGCTTACAGTAATGTCCGGGATGGGGCGGCATAGGCGGGTGGTGCTGAAGATGGCCGTTTTGGTGGTGAGGCAAATTAGGTGTGTATGGTGCAGTTCTACTTCCAGTCCAGGTAGTAGTGCTGTCTAAAAATTAAGGCCCACATGGATTAATTTGTTTTTATAAAGGCTGCCTATTTTTTCTCAACTATTTAAAATATTTTATAAAGCATGTACATACTATGATGGTAAGTAGCTGGCTGACCAGTAAATCCATTCTGCTGCTGTCCTGGCTGAGGCCCTGAAGCTATCTGCAACAGTCCTTCACTATGGCTGGCTGCCGATGCCTGCCAATATACTGGCAGGCTGACCTAGAGGAACAAGAAGATATTAACAAGGTACATTTATAGATGCAATCCTATGATTTTATACAATAAATGAAGAAATCAGTTATATCTGATAATTCACAACTGCAAAGATGGGCATGAAGTGGAACTCACTCATGGGCTATCAAATAAAAAGCCTAAAACCATCTATGAAAGTAATCCTAATTTAAAGAAATTCAAAATTATTCCATTTGGGGTCAGCCAGTGGCATGGTGGTTAAGGCAGCTGGATTCCACACGGCCCACTACATGGTTCAAGTCCCAAACCCAGTGGCTTGAAAAATATACCAGGCACATGGGCATGTATGTCCAACATCCCAGAAGAAGGGAGAAATGTAGAAAAAGGGATTGCAGTGTGACTATCCTCACTGGGAGTGCTTTTTCACTTTCCTTCTCTCTCTGTCTCTCTCCAGTGAGTGTGAATTTACAAAAAAAATTTCTATGGGGGCCAGAAGATGGCATAGCAGTAACACTGCTGGACTCCCACATAGCCAACCGCAGTTCAAGCCCAGACACAGTGGCTTAAAAATCGCACTGGGCATGTGTGCATGCGTGCCCAAGATCCCAGGAGGAGAATGGAAAAGAAAGGACTACAGTGTGGCCATCCCCCTTGGGGGATGATTTCTCACAATCCCTCTCACCACTCTTGCCCTAAGACAAAAACCTCTATTAAAAAAAAGAAATTTCCATGTTAAGTAATGTCCAACTAGTTTCAGTGGCCTATTTCTTCATAAATATCCTTCATGCAAGCAAAATTCTACTACATGTCCAACCTATCATAACTTTCTCAGAAGCACATCAGTTCACCTCTGTCTACTCTATCCAAGTCTCACTAAACCTGTGTGATTAGGACCCTAAAAATCTAGACTCAATAAAAACTTTTTTTAAGATTTATTTTATTTCAGGACCAGCAGTTGCGTAACGGCTATATCACTGGACTCCCATGTAGTTGACCGTGATTCGAGTCTCGGACCTAGTGGCTTAAATTGACACTGGGCGCGTGTGCATGTGTGCCCAAGATCCCGAGAAGAGAATGGAGGAGAAGGGATTGCGGCGTGGCCATCCCCCATGGGGGATGACTTCTAGCTTTCTGTCTCTCTGTCTTTCTGGCGAGCCCACGCGCCCTACAGTAAAAAACCTCTCAAAAAAAAAAAAAAAAGATTTCTTTTATTTCCTTTATTATCATCATTATTATTTGTTTAATTTGACCAGAGAGAGAAAGGGAAAGTAGGAAAGCAAGCCTCCAGGTCCAGGAATCGAAATGTGGTCAGACATGTGGAAGACCAGCACCATAACCACCACGCCACCTGCCAGCCTCCAACTCAAGAAAATTTTGAAAACTTAAAAGTTAATTATTATCAATACTGTTACTGGTAGTGACAGAATATTACAAGGTTTGATAAAAGAAAAGCAGAATAGGAAATATTTTAAACGTAAGTTGATGGGAAAGGTGAGGAAGTTAAAAAAGATCTAGTTCCACTGTGCAATCAATACAGCATTTGCTGGTTAAAAACATATGCACACAAAATACTAAGTCTACTTTGACATTTTTTTACATGCTTTTTAAAAACCATGAATCGTGTCTTCTCAAGAACATCATTCCCAAGGTTGACATGTATGTCACATGTATTAATATGTACATATGTGACACATGTAACAGATGTAATATACTAGGAGAACTAAGTGTCCTCTGGCTTCTGCTATATTCAGAAGTCATTCTATGATACAGTTTACTGTTCTACGTTTTTAAGGCCTCTACTTTTTCAGGTGGAAAAAATCTGATTTCTTAGAGTAAGCATTAAGTCAACTGTTTATCCCATCTGGAAAGCACTGACATTTCTTAATCATTATTTGTCACTGACATCACCTCATCCTTTTTCCACCTAAATGTGAGAAAATTGGTTGAAAGACAGTAAAGGTCACCATTGCTCAAAGTACCAAGCAACAGAAAGCTTAAGGAAAGCCCAAGATCAAAGGAAAATGAATAAGGTCAAAGGAACAGCTCAAGCTCAAAGGAGAACATTTTTCTCCTCTACACCAATCACATTTCCTAAAAGCTAAGATGTATAAATCAAGAGCTAGAAAGAAATTTTTAATAACCTCCAAATTATTTTTAAAGAAGATAGTTTTTAACACTCTCTCTCCCCACTCATCCCAAGAAATTCTGCATACTATTATTATTTTTTAATTTGTAGGGCATATGTACTCACGGGAGACAAAGGGGAGAGAGTGAGAAATCATGCCCAGTAGGAGGATGGCTACACTATAATCCTTTCTCTGCCATTCTCCTCTAGGGATTTTGGGCACACATGCACACATGCCCGGCATGTTTAAGCCCTGGGTCCAGGGACTCAAACCCTGCGGCCTGCCATGTGGGGATCTAACCACCTTGAACTCCACATCACCTCCTGGCCCTCTGCAAGATTTTTTTTTTAAGAGTTATTTTATTAATTATCATTATTATTAGTTTTAAAAATTTGACCAGAAAGAGAGACAGGGGTGGGGAGAAGTGAGAAAGCAAGCTGCTAGCTAGGTCCAGGACTCAAACCATGGTCAACCATGCGGGAGTCTAGCACCACAACCACCACGCTACCTGTCAGCCCCTGCAAATTATTTTTAAAGGATATTTACAGGGCCAACTCTTTAGCCTAGTAGAAAGGAATTCAGATTGCACATGCCTAACCATGGTTTAAATCTCGAACCCAGTGGCATGAAAAGCACATCAGGCATGTGTCCATACATGTTCAAAATCCCAACAGGATGAAGAAATGGAAGAAGAGGGACCACGTGCCATTGGTTGCTTTCTCTCTCTATATCTGCCTCTGATAAGCACGCACACTCTCTGGCAATTAAGTAATTAATTAGTTTAAAAGTCATAAGTCAGAAAAACAGTGGAATTAAAAATAAAATTTAAAGGATAATTATGTTTTTCCTCATTTTTTTAAACTGTACATGCTATATACTCTTCGCTAACTTATACAGACTGTAACTATACAAGTAAAATTAAATTATTTTAATTTATATAATAAAGATATGTATAAAGAATCCTGAAGACATTCAGGAGCCAAATGAACATAAACTGTTAAGTGTCCACTGCCATTATCTGTACTGAATATTTCCATTACAGCTGTCCAAGTGCATAATATAAAATTTAAACAGCAAAACTATAATAAATCAGCTCATGTAAAATAGCCTTACAATTCCTCTATTTTAGTCCAATTTTTTTTCTTTTAATTCTATTAATACACTTTTTGAGATCTGAGGGAGTATTTCACCAAATATCCTAGAACCTACAGTACTTACTATGCAACTATAAAAATATACCCCAAAACACCAAAAGCAGCTATATTTTTTTAAAGAATTATTTTATTTATCTTTATTTATTTATTTTAATTTGACCAGAGAGGGACAGAGAGAGAGAAAGTGAGATAGCAAGCCGCCATGTCCAGGACTCGAACCACAGTCGACTATGTGGGAGCCCAGTGCCCCTAACCACCACGCCACCTGCCAGCCCCAAAAGCAGCTATATTTCATCCTTATCATTTTTCCTGGTCCTCAAATAGAATTCAGGCCCAGGGAACAGAACAGTCAAAATGAAGTTACTTTAGTAAGAATTAATAGTCATAGAAATTCTATCTCCAGGCCCAGCCTGGAATTCAGTCAGTAGCAAACTGAATGGCCAACCTCAGGTTCAGATCCCTGGGTTAGTCTGAAAACATGCCAGGCAATGCACACATGCTCAAAATCCTAAGGAGCTAGAGGGTTGGGGAAGGGTATGACAGAATGAGAGGGCCCTGTCGGGGATACTTCTCTCTCTGTCATGGGTACATATGACTCTCTACCATGAATAAAAATAAACAAAAAAATTCATCTCCAGAGATTATAAAATAAACAGAGGTAGATGGTTGTGCTCCCAATACTAATCTGTGTCCAAGGGCCATTAGCACCTTTTTTTAGTTTCCATTACTACCCACTTCTGTCAACCCTATTCTCAAATTGGTGAACAAAAAGTAGACAGATAATAGAAACATCAAATGATTAAGGGTCCAGGTTCTAAAGTGGACCAATATGATCTACTTAAAATATGTGGTACTTGAGTTTGCCATCTTGTGTAACAAAAGAAAAAGATACTGCTTTGAAGTGGTGAAATGAATGAAAAGGCAAAATTTTATCTGAATATATTGTATGTGTATGTGTGTGTGTGTATATATTTAAGTATATTTTATTTAAAGTCACAATTGCAGAAATGAGTTCCCCATTTATTCCAAAGATCAAAATTTCTATACTGAATCTATCTAATATTAAAGTAAACAGAGTAACAGACCCTTTGTCAGAAGCTAACAAAGTATTTGTCCAGATTTATCAACAATCTATGGCTGGTGTGGGCTTAGATACAATTCCCTTAACAAGCAGGTGCAACTAACACCATACACATGCTAAGCCAATGCTCTGATTTTTAAAAAAAAAAAAAAAGAAAGAAAGAAAGAAAGGAAAAGAAAAAGAAAAGCTGCTCTGTGATTAACGTAATATTCTGCAATTACTTCTTAAACAGATTACACAACGATATTGAAACCTTTAAATAAATTACAAAATCATTTTTTCCAGGACCAACAGAAACACCTACTTAAAATTTGTTTACTAAAGAAAACTACCAGAGTACTTTGAATTTTTACTTACTTGAAGTTTTCCTGTAAGTACTACACATCAATATTTAATGGTTAGAAAAATTCAACTTGCTCAACACATCTGATACTACAACTCACTTGTGGAAGCCACAGGAATGCTGGGGAAGTTGGTGGTGCTGGTAGCATTAGACTCAGACGGGGCTAACAGAGCAGGGGTGCTGTATGTCTCTGTTGATGCACGATTACTTGGTGGATGCTGGATGGTTTGAATTGAATGTCCTTCAGTGGATAACGACGGCTGTCCATCAAAGTCATGAACATATTCATCCTTCACCAACATATTTGGAGCTATGTAGAAAATTAAACATAGTTTAAATTTTTATAATCTTCTATCACCAGGAAAAATAAAAATCTTGTAACAACACCTAAAATCAACTCATGTAAATAACTAATTCAAAATGTTTTAATTTCATTATCTTAAAAGCATACTACTTTATCAGCAAAAGCCATTTATTTAGAGATAGTGGCATCAGATATAGTTTATCAATCTGACTGACTCTGAAATTTAAACTAGAATATACTCTAATCATTTCTACCAACTGTCCTTAAAAGGTTGTATCTTGGTTTCTTGATAAACCCATAAGTAATAACCACTTAAATAAACAGCATGAGGTACATAAAAACCAAATGGCTTGGAAAATGTTTATCCAGCTGAGAAACCAATCATTCACTGAACTTATTCTTCAGATAGAGAATTAATGTTAAGTAATCTATTATTTGCAAGACAAGTATACTGAACATCTCCTACAGGTTCAGCAACAGAAATTCTATGTAAATCTAACTGAAATTTCCTCATAGAAACCCAATACAAATAAAAATGTTTGATAAATAAATGCAAAAAAAAAAAACCTCAATAATCAACCTCTTTAACCTATGAGGTTACACCCTAATAAATAAACCCAGACTCTGACAGAGCATAACACCTTTTCATTAACATGCTAGGAACAGTTTGCTTTGTTGTATGAAAAATCAAACTGAAACTAAATTGCATTCGTAATGTCAATTTTCTTCTCAGGACCTCCCCATGTTCTGGGGCTACTATGTTTTGGGGTTTGCTTTTCACTTTTAGCAAACAATCCTTGACTGCTTCTAAACTAATACGACTGCAGACTGCAGAATTCCACAATCTATTGCACTGTGATGTTAGGTTCTCTTCTTAGAGCAGTCCATTAATAGTCCATAAAAAGGCATCCGCATTAAGCATTACTTCCCTATCTTTCCCTACACATCATTCTTTGAAAACAATCTATTCCACGTAAATATCACTTAGTTAGATGCTTTATTAAACTTGGACTATTTCAAAGCAGTAAGAATAATCCACTGTTCAAGTTTCTATACATGACCTCATAAAAAGCATTTTCATTCATCAAATGTCATGAAGATAATATATTAAAAATTTTAAAACCCAATGGATCCCAACAGGGCCAACTGTATGGTTCAAGCCCTCAACCTGGCAGGCTTTGAAACATGCCAGGTGAGTGTGTGTCCAAAATTAATAAAGGAAGGAGAAATGAAGTAGAAGGGATTGTGGCATGACCATTCTTTATAGAGGATGCTTTCTCTTCCCCATGAGAAGTGCTTTCTCTTCTCCCTCTCTGTCTTTCTGTCTATGGCAAGGATAAATGCCCTCTAGCCAAAAAAAAAAAAAAAAAAAAACCTAGGGGGGGCCCCCTAGAACAGTGGCTAATAAGCACTGTGCATTGGGAATACCATATGTCCAACCACAGTTCAAATTCTGGCCCCAAGAGCCTGGAAAACACAGGGCATTTGTGTGTGCATGCCCAAAATCCTGACTGAATGAAGAAATGGAGAAAAAAGGACTACAGCTTAACTACATCCCACTGAGGAGTGCTTTCTCTCCCTACCTCTTTTATGAGCACACGTACCCACTGGCACTTAAAAAAAAAAAAAAATTGGAAAACAAAAAGATAATCAGAATGATGCTCAACACCTCATTATCTATCAGCAAAAAGCTGGAAGCAGCCACTCATCACAAATATTGGTTACATTGTAAAAATATAAACAAAAAACTATTTGGGGCATGAAGTGGGTATGTCTGTACTTATTCAGCCTTTTATTATACCTTTCAACAAAGTTTCGTGATTTTATACATACGAATCATGACAACTCTACTTAATATATAAACATGTTGGGTTTTTGTTGTTATAGTGATTGGGAGAATATTCTGATGGATCTCCTTATTCAAATAACCTAAAATGCATGTTTCTTAGGTAAAATGAAGGTATCAACCAGGATATAAGTCTGCAATATATTTTTGCCAAGAAGAAAAAAAAAAATCAAGTTACAAAATACTATCATACATTATCATATGCATGTTTTTTTTAAAATCATATACTGTAAATAAAGAGCAAGGTCCAGAACAGCGTGCATGATATACTTTTTGTGTAAGAAAGGAGGGAAATAAAACATTTTTTTTTTTGGTTGTTTTTTTGTTTTTTTTTTTTTTTTTTTTTTAAAAAAAAACCTGGAAGGAAAAACACAAAAACAAAA